GTGTTTTGAAAAGTATGTAGTTTGCAACATGCAACTGCATACTTTTTCTTGAAAGCAACTATGTGTTTTCTTTATACCAATTGATTCGTTTTATTATTTTATGCATAAAGTATTAAGGTAAGATTCCCAAATTGAATGTTTTACAAGATATTTGTATTTATGTCAAATACTGTAATTTACAAGCCTCATAACTCGAAAAGTACTTAATGAAAATAACTTTATTATAGTGTTTTGAAAAGCTCTTGACACCAGCTATTAGATTTTGGAATCAAAAATAGGGGTTTCTATTTAAAAACCTAACCTAACCTTGAAATGACCTTGAAGGTCAAGCTCAAGGTCAAATTGAAGGTCACCGTTAAATTCCTCGTTGAAAATTACTTCAGAAATGACCTTGACCTTTTTCAAAAATACCTTACATGAGAAAATATTCAGCCGTCCCGGGACTTAATTGACACCCTGTATATATACATATAATGTATTTTTGTACATATATATATGTATACCATATATATATTTTATTTTTTAATACATTAAAAAAATTTTTATTACTTTAAATGAAGCTGGGTAACGGTGCCTCTTTTTATATGTACAAGACACTTTACTGATGCCGTATGGCCGCACATGCGCAAACAAACCGGTCCCTAATCGGAACACTGCTCGTACTACGATCTCATTCAAGAGCAGCGACTGTGGCAACTAGTAGCGGAATATGCTAAAACTAAAAAATTTTGTCAAGCTTGAAGTGGTTAAGGCCATCACACACAAAATGACATAACTGCATATGCATAGCATATTAGGCCTTTAGGATATTCCAAATAAATTGCATAGCGCATAACATACGCATAAGAAATTGAATTGATCCATTTCATTATACATCTTCTTATGAACCATTTTCTTATGCAAAAGCATTATGCAAGTTTGCTGGATATACCTTTATAGTTCATTTTCTCTCGCAATTAGGTTTGGTTAGGTCATGTTATGTTAGATTAGATTAGGCTACGTCAAATAGTATGCAAACCGGTCGTAAAGGAGAAAAACAAAGAATTTGGAAAATGACTATGAAAATGTAAAAGATTTCTAATTACTTTATTACAACTGTCAGGTCATTTTCTTAACGTATGTTTGTGTCATCAATGGTACTGAATGCAGAATAAAGGTTATGGAATACGGTAAGCACGATAAATAGAGATACCTGCAACACAAATATAGGTTTGTTGTCCCAACATGCTCCTACTTGCTCTAATTTATGGTACTACGTTACATTATATTATAAATTGAAACGTATTGGAGCAAATAGGGAGCATGTTGAGGCTTGCGACGCAAACAAACCTATACATTAACCTATACATTGCGTTCTAACAAATTTTATTACTATCTTTGTAGAAAAAAATATGCCTGATTATTTTTAAATTATTTTATTAATTACCATGTGTATTTACATATTATAGTCTACAAATATATGTATTATGTATGTTACTTTATTATTATAGACGAAAATACAATGCAAATAGAAGAGCAACAAGCTATTGAAGAAGATGAAAATGAAAATTCGAATAACGACAATAATGCACGAAATAACGATGAAAGTGATGTCAAAACTGAACATTCACAGCATAGTACGTTTAATACTGTAATAATAATCATTTCCTCCAAATATCTGTACTTTAATTAAATGTAAAATTTTAATCTACAGCAAATTCAGCAGATGTAAATTTAGATACCACGGATATAGACTCTGATCAGACATGCCCGATTTGTATGGAGCAATGGACCAATTCTGGGGAACATCGCTTATGCTGTTTACGCTGTGGACATTTGTTTGGACATAGTTGTATTTTGAGATGGCTGCAACAATCTTGTACTGCTATAAACCGTCGTTGTCCGCAATGTAACAAGAAAGCTTTAGTAAAACATATCAGGATGTTATACGCAAAAAAAGTGGCAACAATTGATACTACCGAATGTGATTCACTAAAGAAGGAGTTGATTAATGTTACAGCTGAAAAAAAACTTTTGCAGTTGGAATTATCGCAATATAATGCTCGTCTGAAAGTATATCAGCAGCAAGTGGATTGTATGAGGAAACATATTGCGGAACTGGAAAGTCAACAATCAGATATTAATATTCAAATGAACCAAATTGCTTCGGGCAGTGTCTCCACTACAAAATTTCATCTTGAACGATCTCTGGAGATCTGCAAAGATAGTGGATGCCGTGTGTTAGACTATAATCCATGGTACAAATTGTTAGTTGTCTCTCAAAAGTCATCAAATGGATTATTTAATGGATATGGTATACGAAAGATGGACTGTGAGTATTTTAACTTGCGGCAATTCGTCTATTTGCACACTCAAGCTGTGAGAGATGTGACCTTTCATTCAACACAACAAACACTTCTTCTCAGTGCTGGTTTTGATAAATGTGCAAAGTTAATGGACATTCAAAACAATATGATAGTGCAGACATACCAAACAAACCATCAACTTTGGAGTTGTTGCTGGTCAGGTGACAATCCACATACTTTTCTAGCTGGTGCACAAAATGGATCTATCAGCCAGTTTGATATTAGACAAACTTCTGGTGCTATTAGTGTCCTAGATAGTTATGGTGATACGTCGCCGGTTGTATCAATGGCAACAGTGCCATCTAATCCTGGCAGTGGCATCAGTAGAGGTGGATTTGTAGCATGTCGTTTAAGAACATGTAATGTATACGAAATTAAGGATACTGCGTACCTGCCAAAGCAGATGTTTTTGGAAGGTCCTTTTGTCTCAGTACGCTATGATGAAAAGAATCATCATTGTCTCATATCATCTCGTCCTAATGCAAGGCAACCATATGCGAGACATACAGTGTGTACTATTGAAAAGCATATATCTAATGATGACATGGTCATGTGTAATACTGTGCATACATTTCAAGCTGGTAATTCTCAACAGCTTTTATCTCGACCTTGCTATTTATACAAGGAAAATGACACGCTGGTCGCTGCGTATATAGAATCAAATAGTAATATATCATTGTGGAGTATAGCAAGCGGCAGACAGTTACATAGCCTTCCATTATCAGATTCTATTATAGATCTGTGTTCCTTTGAAGTTAATAATTATTTATTTTTATCAACTCTTTCTACAAAAAGACTTAGGTTATACAAAAATGGATAAATAGCATAAAGTACAATAAAAAAAAATAAAGCAAATATGACATGACCCATTTATCCTTACTACGTTCGGAACACAACTGTGTCTTAATATAGTATTATCACAGATTAAATTTTTTAAAAATTTTTTCTACATTGTATTTTAATATTAATTACATCAAAAATAATATTGTATAAGAAAAAAATTTGAAAATATATACCAAAAATTTACATAATAATCTTTAATTTTTAACATTATTTTTTTAAATGCGTTCTTGTTTTTTTTTTACATTTAGAATTATAATTTGAGTATAATTTTATGATAAAGAAATATTTAATTTCTTAAGTATTATTTCGATGCAAAATGAAAATGATCTCTTTCCATGTGTACTTTTATCTTTGATGTACGTTTCATTTTCCACTAAGAAATGGACAGATATTTCTCTTTATTCTATATGAAAAGTATGAAGAATATTACACAAATAAGATGGAAAATATTTATATAAATATTTATAAAACACATGAATACCAGTAATACTTTTTACAAAATTTAAGAAACGATTGCAAGTGCGTTTAACGACTCTTCCATATAATTCAGTATATCAACAAGAGCATACTATCGAATAACATGCTTTAATAACATTTGCTTTAAGTCTGCCTACGCCTACGTGCCATTTGGTTCTCTGAAGGAAAATATGTGCAACATAAAAACCAAAATAACAGATATTCTATTTTCTGCGTAAAACTGTTTGTGCTTGTCACTCAATGTCTAAAAAAATAATAGAAATATCTGCTCGTATGCAAATAATATATTCACTGCCCAAAGTATGGCAATAGACATTGCAATCGATCTTATTATTTCCAACCACTTCAAGAGTTCTGTTATTTTTACTGACTCGCAACCCAGGGAGAACAACAGGTCTAAGAAACGTCTAAAAGACGTCTATCGACATCTATTAGACGTCTATTAGATGTCTATAGACGTTTATTAGACGTTTCTTAGACCTGTTGTTCTCCCTGGGAAAGCATTGTCCGCTCTGTTGCTAATTATTCAACACTACACTGCAAAAATGAGCTTGTCATCCGTCTTAAAAATAAACTACTCCACACACGAAACGGGGCTGCATATTGAGCTTATCTGGATCCCTGCTCATATAGGGATAGCAGGCAACGAAATGGCTGATCGTCTCGCAAACTTAGCCATAAGATATGGCAACAACTTAAATGCGCCTATTCCTTATTCTGATTTTTACTACCACTTCAAAGAAAAAGCATAAGAAGTAACCACTATAACTTAAATGCTTCTCTTGCCAGATGTAATATTGTCGACTCTCCGAGATATCAATGTGGCTATCAGTCTGAAAATATTGAGCATGTTCTGTGGAATTGCCCACTTTATAATCTTGCTAGAGCTGCCTTTTACTCGGAATTATTAAAAGCTGGAATCAACCCCCCTTTTTCAACAACTACTCTTTTAAAGAACCCAACTATCGAAACCTTACATGCATTCGAGATTTTCCTTAGAATGTCTAACCTCTCCTTTTGAATCTCCCGCTTCCTTTATCACCCCCTTCCACCAAACCAGATAGTCGTAAGAGAGATGACCTCAAGATCTATAGAGAGAAGAGGTCTGTTTTTTATAGCTGAACTGGCTGCACTAGTTCAGAGTTTATCTTTCTCCTTCTAATGTGGAGGGAAAAATATAAACTCTGAACTAGTACAGCCAGTTCAGCTATAAAGAACAGACCTAAGGTTACCTCATGCGCAAAGAGGGACGAGCGGCAAGAGGGGCAAATGCAGAGAGGGACGAGCGGCAAGAGGGGCAATGATGATCTCATCGGCAAACAGTAGCTGTCTCTCTCGCACGCTTTAGTGTTTTCTCTCTCGCTCTTTTAATATAGAAATGCTTTGAGTTTTTATCGAAAAATACTTTTATTTTGTAAAATATTGATAGCACTGGAAATTGCGTAATAAAAATTGAAAAGTAAAATAAAAAGACGCTATAAATTACATATATTGCAAATTATAGCGCTAGATATTTAACGTTTATAATGTTAAATATCGCTGCAACAGATGCATTTGTGATACAAATTGCTTTGTACTCGTATTTAGACTGTAATATCAATGAAAATAAAATATAATTTGGGGATATACACAAAAAACATCATTTGTAAAGTAGTAAAATAAAAGAAAAAATAGTACATATTTAAAAATTATTTTAAAAATAATATTTACTGTTTATATGCATTATTTACAAAAGAAATTCTATAAAGAAATTTATTTTTATATTTAATTGTGAAAATCTCAAAAATTGTCAAGAAATTGTAACTGAAATTCATAAATGTAAGTTAAATTATTTCTTCGGTTTTATTCATTTGAATATGTTAAAGGAAATAACAGACAAAATAATTAATATACGTACCTTCGATTTTTACTATATAACCTCTTAAACTGATACATAAAAGCCAATAATGAGAGCGAGTGACAGAGTTAAAAACAGTTAGAAAAGGAAGAACTTTGAAAGAGAAAGACAGCTACTGTTTGTCGATGAGATCATCATGCTCTCCCCTTCCTTCATCGTCCCTCACCGTAAGCTGTTTCTAGCTCCCCCCTTACTTTATCGTCCCTCGCCCACAACCGGTTTGCCTGAGGTAACCTTCTCTCTATAGATCTTGGGGATGACTCCTCGGAGCCACACCATCAGTGATGCAAACTCGAGCCGGCCAGCACCAGAGCTCCGTGGTAGCACATGTAAGATATTTCTACGATCAACCGACAGGCGGCGCCAATAAGGCACCAGGCGATACCTCGAATCGGAAGACATCGACTCTCGATATATCGATAGTACAAATCGATCTATGCGCGCGCCACCAGATCCAGCAAAGATTCGAGAACGTTCCGAAATCTTCAGGATCTGCAGGATTATCCGGAACCAAAACCAAAGAGACACTCTGTTCGGATTCCGGATCTGTCCGGAACGGCATTAAGAACGGTCGAGTTAGAGTCGTCGGATTAAGTCGTTGTATTAGATCTAGTCAGTCGAACGATCAACCAGTATTTCGTGTATTTGGTTCTTGAAATAAAGGCCATTTATTATCCTGTTAAATAAGTGCTTTATTCGTACTCCTCAAATACATTAATAAATACAGTCGGTAGCCAATCGGAGCACGTGGCGATTAGAATACACGTGGTTTGAATAATTACGCTCAACGGACATTTTAAATTAACGTACGCGGTGCTCCAACCGTTATAAAATATTTCGGAGAGACTAGACGGATTTTTGTCCAGCCGTTTCGTGCCGTTCGTCGTCAATAGGAACTAGTCGGAGAACTTTCACACACGTGTGCGCACACGTACGTGTGACGTAAGTGATTCTCGCTTGTGTGCATGCTTCCCTTACCACGGAGCCCTGGTGCTGGCCAAGATCTATAGAGAGAAGGTTACCTCCATGATGTAAGAAGATAGGTGTACCATTGCGCATAATGGCAGCCGTATGACGTCAGCATGATAGGACAGCCAATCAAACGTGGTCCAAAATGCATCCGCGAAATTCTAATATAGAATTATCATATTATTAAAATGTAATTAAAATTTATAAAAATATCTTATGAAAATAATAAATTTGCAATATAAAATACAGTAGCAATAAATGACAATTACCCACAATAATAAATAATATCAATTAATAAATATTATATAGAAAATTAAGTGTTTCCAACACAAATGTGTGAATACATATATTTAATATCTCTTATGATATCTCGTATGATCAGTACGACTTATACAATTCTTTACACAACACGTTGGCATAGTTTT